TAAATTCTGTGTCAATCTGGATTAATCATCCTTCACATCATGTTTTGAAAAGTTCTTTCATTTGACGTGTGTAGAGATTATGTGCTCTGTCATGTCCATAATGACTGGTTTTATTGAACCTGACAGGTATAATCAGCTAATTTGATTTTAAGTTTTAAGAAGAAAACCAGTGTAAAGAATGTACAACCCAAACGTGATCAATCCTTAAGCTTAGCAATTAGTTCATAAAGCCTTGGAGAGAGTATATCTCAAAATTTGTTTCAGTTAGCTTCTGGCTTCTCACTATGGATTATAACATTTTGAATTTTTTGGAAATCATGGAATTTTAGATCAAACAACTGAAATGAAATAAAGAGAAATTGATCTTTGCAATGTACATACTTCACTTTGTTTAGTATTTACTATGTTGATATTAGGTACTAGGAAAATGCTTTTTTAAAATAGCCCTTTTCTCAGGAAGCACAGATGTGTACAGTTAGAGCCAGAGAATAAATAAATACATATGTCATATGTTGGGTGCTCTGAGGGATGAAGAGAAGCCAAGTAGAATAAAGGAGGTATTCAGGAGAGTTTCACTGTAAGGATTCAGGCTTTATGTTGGCCTGCCCCTGTGCAAAAGAACCATTTACAAGACAGACTCCTGCTCTCTTTCTGCTCTCTCTTTCCTTTCTCCTCTGTTCCCCTGGGGCAGAAAGGACTTTTCCTGTCTCCCTCTTCTCTTCTGTCCTCTCTCTGTCTCTGTGTCTCTTTACCTCGTTTCTCCTCCCTCCCCTTTCTAATAAAACTTCTCACTTAAGCTCTGTCTGCCTGGCATGTTTTCCCCTCTACCTGGGTCACTCTTGCCTGCCATGGAACCTGCCAAGGTTCCCCTCACACTTTAGCATAACATTCATCTTGGAATTTTTCATAGGGCAAGTTTTGAACATAGACAAGCTGAAACTCACAGAGGTGTTTCTTGAGCCATTGGAAGTGAGCAACCTAGTCTGATACATGTGAACAGAGTTGGAACAGAATGAAAACGTGGGATGGGTTGTAAGACAAGGATGGACAGTGGTTAGCCAGTGCTTAAGAGAAGTTGCTGTGAGCTACAAGAGAAGACATCAAATGAGCATAAAATCCATGATCTATTTTCCCTAGGGGAACAGGGTGTTGGCGGAGGCAGTAGTGTGAGCTGAACCCAGGCAAGCTAATTTTAAAAAGATAATCAGGACAAAAAGTAATTATTGTGAAGGAAAGGTTTGCTGGTAAAGGGGGTGACATGGGATCAGGACTTGCGTTTTAAAGATAAATATTTTCAGGGTTTGCTAGTGAGTTGGGTCGGAGGTTTTGAAAGTAGAATGAAGGGTAACCCCATCTTTCAAGTCCTAAAAGTTACCTGAAAGATAGACTTGCAATACAGGAGAGAGGTAGCCTTGGATGGGAGATAGGGTATCAAACCCTTGAGCATATTTCCAGCTCACAGGCTGAGGAGTCAAGAGAAGGTATCTTAAACCCCATTGCAATCAGGCATGAGCTCAGAATAGGAGATATAATTGTGTGTGTGTGTGTGTGTGTGTGTGTGTGTGTGTGTGTGTGTGTGTGTGTGTGTGTGTGTGTGTTTTCACGATAACCTATAATATTGGAAGCCTTTAGACCAGATAGGCAAACACAGTGTTCCTTTAACTTCTGAATGTGTTTCTGTATGAGACCTGATGGGGGTGTCTGCTGTAAAACATGTGTGCATGCAGCTAGATCTCCAAAGATCATGTTTCAGTTTTCCCCGGTATATTGTTGTACAGAGAACACTGAGTTGACCCTAAGAGGAATGAATGCTAAAATTAAAAACCAACAAGGAAAATACAGCTGCATTCCCAGTTATTTGTACCACAAGTTTTTCCTCACACATTTACTCAGTGCATGACCAGTTTTCAGATGAAATTGCTTATTTTGTTGTTTCAGTGCCCATCCATATCCTAGGATTGACTGTAGTTACACAACACTGCTTCCTGCTACCATAATGGACTTCCTGTGTCATCAAAATGGTATGTCATACCCTCCTCCTATTGGCTCATTCTGTGGAGAAATGTGACTAAAGTGGGCTACCAGTGAGCAGAGATGGAGATGAAGCAAATGTGTACACAGGTAGTCTTTACCCTGGGGAAACACTGGACCAGAAAAAGTGACTGCAGCTGCACCCCAACTACAGATTCACAGCCAGCCAAGATACTGCCACCTTCACACTTTGTCACTCTCTTTCATTTAAAAAGGGAAACAACTGCGTTGGCACTCCTGTCTTTGAAGTCTCAGGTTATTCTGACTGAGAAGCAAGAGTGGGTCTCTTTGTAAATAAGTTAGAGTTGGAAATCTTCAACAAGTTTTAATTCAATCCGAAATCTACCCCCTCCTCTTTACAATAACTATGCACTCACTAGTTCTCCTCGAATCAGCGTCATTCATCAAAGAATTCATCACCCCACTCCAGAGGATCCAACTCTAAGGAAAAGTTTGGGGTGATGGTGAGAGAGGGAGAATCCAAAATAAATGTACAATGAGTAATAATTACAGGAAAAGTAGACATATATATATTTCAAAACCTGTACTTGCAAAATTTCATTTTGGAAAGAAAAGCCTATCAAAGCATATCATTTTAATTATACTTCTATTACCAGGGGACTATGAAAGTGTATATTAAATTAATGAAATGGATTGCCTCGGTTCCACAGTGGTTATTAGCAGGAAGCGTTCCCAGTTTTCATATTATGTACATCACTAACTTTAATTGCATTAGGCTGAGCTGGGAGAGCTATTTTTAGGGAATATTTCATCCACAAAACAATTTCTGTTGGCTGTCTGCCTACTACAGCTCCAGGATGGAGCTCTCTCATAAATGCTAACTTATTATTTCTGTCAGCCATGCTGAAGCATGTATGACCTTATTAAAACTACCCCAAGCAGCTCTTCTCTCAAGACCGTTGGCTCAGCTTCCCGGGAGGGCACAAAGGAGTGGGAGAGGAGGACTGGCCAGCAAGCATGTACTTGCGACCCAGTTGCAGCCCCCACGGGATAATCATGTGCTTAGAGGGCCTGCAGAGGGGAATGCAATACCTGCATTATCCAGGGTAGGAAGACCTGGTGAGATCAGATTTGTGAGCACTAGGTAAATGAGCTCTCAGTTCTGTATGTCTGACTGTTCCCTGAAGTGCCTGAATCTAGATTCAAGTTGCAGCTGGCCCTTGGATAAAAATGAGCCAGCCTAAAACATTAATGTTGCCACAGTACTAAGACAACCCCCCCCCCACAAGCTTAAGGATTATAAAGTTGGAAGATGACTTAGAAGTCATGTATGTCAGGTATCCCCATGACAGCTGGCTTGCCTTTAAAGAAGTGGAGACCTGGTAGTTTAGTGACACATATGATACCCACAGTGCCTTCTTGATGCCTTGTCTGATGAAAATATAAAAATATGTATACTCATAGGCATGTGAGGTACTGTGTTTTAGCTTGAGTCACTAGCAAACTGCACAAAATCGATGGTGAACACATTCCATTTTCACTACAGATTAGCACAGGAAGACATGGTCGCCACAACACGGTTGATTCATTGTCGAAAGAGCACGGTGTCATTTGGCAGTGTGGGCCAGTGGTCTTACATTCATGGAGCTTACTTAGTCAACATGTGAAATTGAAGAAGTGGAGAGCCATCTCATTGTAGCCTTAACTCCGGCTACACCCTTCTAGTTTACAGCATTGGGAGAAACAGATGGGTGTGAGATTAAATCCTCAAAAAGGCAACTAAGTTCAATGGAAACACCATGAATACTTCTCTTAAAAATGAGTGTTAAAAACCACATGCTACCTAAAAGAGACACCTTTATGTATAAGGGAAGACAAGGGTTGAAACCAAGAAAAAGAGCTAGCAAGATGCCTCAGAGGATAGACACTTGCTGCCAAGCCTAATGACCTGAATTGGAAACCCAGAATCCCTGGGTAGAAGGACAGAATTGAGTCCCACAAGTTGTCCTATGGTTTCTGTATGAAAAAAAAAAACCCTTAAAACAAGTAATTACGAATAGAACAAACTCATAAAATGCATATGTGTTCCCTAGGTAAGCCCAACCATACTCTATAGCAAACTGCACCACAGAACAAGTGGAGGGTCTTCCACGATGATAACTTAGAGCAGGAAAGCGTGACAATATAGAATGTGTACTTACTTACGAAGCCTCAAAACACATAATAGGAGTGGTGATGAAGTACCAGAGAGACAACCAACCCCGAGTTCAGCATAAGAATTTGAAGACCTCCTTAGTGTGAGATGACATACTTCTGCCACTTGCAATGACACATGAGACACACAGAAGCCTCACGTGCAGTACATGAAGGGGTGTGTGTATGTAAATAGTAAGTGACCCCTTTAAATAAAGTCTAGAATAATCTGTGCTTATGGAAGTCTGGACTGTGGTTACTCCTGAAGGAGGAGGAGGGGATGGAATGGTAGACAGCTGGAGAGATCAGTGAAACCCTCAACTTTAAATTCATGGACCTGACCTCTATCAAACTGTGTTCTAACCCATCTCTGTGCAGTTCTGTGTATTTATGAGTGTCCCAGGTATGCAAAACTATTTCACCAATCTCCAAAGTTTCCCTACAGACACTGAATATATTTGCAGAGGTGGCTACTGGTTCCAGGGCTCCAAGCTGGCAGCTTTCCATTCAGTGAGTCCAGTGATTCATCTCTGATTGACAGCTGTGACCAAACTTCTCTCCCCACCAACAATGATCCCTGTGAGTTTCTGGGCAAGCCAAATCCATGACCCACTTTGAATCTGAATCTGTGTTCTCTACTGAGAAGACTCTCAAACTCCTTGCTTTCCCCCTCTTCCAGGCCACTAATGTCACACTATCAGAAAGCCCTTCTCCAGAGGAGTTCCATTTACCAGAGCTTCCCAACTGCTTGGATTATAGACATGAGCCCACCACACCCAGCAATGTTGTTTGTTTGTTTGTTTGTTTCCATATTTTAAAAATGGAACACTTTAACAGATCTGTGTGTCATGCTTGCACAGGGTCCATGCTAACCTTTGTATCACCCCACTCTTAGTATATGTGCTACCAAAGTGAGCACCAGCAATATTGTTTCCCATCAGCTAAAGATAATATGTACTCACTCATAAGTGGATATTAGACATAGAGCAAAGAATACCCAGTCTACAGGCCAAAACACCCAGAGAACCCAAATAACAAAGAGGATCCTAAGAGAGATTTACATGGATCTGCCTAGGAAGGGGAAAAAGACAAGATCTCAGTAAATTGGGAGCATGGGTAGCAGGGGGCAGGGTAGAAGGGGAGAGGAGAGAAGGGAAGGAGAGTGAGGAAAATGTATAGCTCAGTTAAAAAAAAAGATAAAAAATAATTAATTTTAAAAAAAGAAAGCCCTTTCCTGAGTCTGCGAATCCAAAGTCAAAATGCAACTACCCCTGTGCCTGCTTTAATGTTCTCCACAGAGTGGAGAGGGATCTTCCTGTCCATTTGGGTATTTTGTTGTGCTTCATCTATGGCAGCTTTGCAGTAAGGCTTATTCGATGTTATATTCTCAGAACCTACAAGGTTTTAGGAGATACTCAGTACTTATGGAGAAAGATGGCAGGCATTCCACCTCTCCTGACTAGTGGTTAGCAATCCACATCTAAATCAACATTGTATGCACATTGCTTAGACACTATAGTAAATTTTAGAACTAAAATTTTATGTATTGAAATTGGCTGTTTCTTACAAAGGGGCTGGAAGGTATACACACTGGAACCATGGTGTCTCCTTTAGCCTTTCCTTTTACTAGGGGGCAAGCTGCCATTTTTATGGTTTCAGTTTTAAAAGTTAAAATAATTTAGGAAGTCAAAAACATAGAAAGTGTGTCCCAAGTTAGATTATCATGCATATTTCCTCTTTGTCAATCTTCCATCTTTGACTGGATACCTGTTTTTTGCTAAATGAAATGGGTTCAGATGTTTTTAAAATGCTGAGGCCCTTTTTAACTACACCAATCCTGATATTCCAATGTGACTGGTGTGGCCTCAAGGTAAAATCTCTACATTGGGTATTAATGCAAGAGCTTGCCTGAGAATTCCTGAGGAAGACCAGCTGAGGTTCAATAAGTTATTAGAACCTTTAAGGCAGGTGGGGAAATGAAAGGTATTTTGAGGTTCTCTAGTTCCTAGGTTCCATATATCACATGACTGTCTGCAGGCAGTTTAACACCCCTTCAAGAACCTGATGTTATCAGCATATGTACCGTGAAAAATAAAAGACTCGGAGACAGATATTGGGGTTCAAGCTTCAAGCTGAAGATTAGAGAAGCAAAGCAGCCAAGCCAGTAAATCTTACCTCTACCCAACTGAAATGGCAATCCTGTCTCCACAAATCCTCAGAGGCAAAAGCTCTTAATTCCTGTCCCCTCCTGCCTTTTATCCCTTCCCCCCCCCAGCCATATCACTCCTGTCTCCACCTCTGTAGTGCTGGGATTAAAGGCATGTGATCCCAAGTGCTGAGATCACCTTTGTGTGAGCTGTTTCTTTCAAGATTGGATCAATCTCCTGTAGGCAATGTGACCTTGAACTAACAGAGATCATTCTACCTCTTAATCCTGAGTCCTGGGATTAAAGGTGTGTGCCACCACTGCCTGGCATCTATAGCTTGTGGGTGACTTTGCTTTGTGAATCCTCAGGCAAGCTTTAATAAATCATAAATAATATATCACCGCAAACATACAGATGTGAAAACAAAATAACCACATATTCCCATGGGAAGGATGTGTCAATGTGTCTTCAGTGAAGTCCAGAACTTCCCAGATGCATTCCTCACCAAGGTGGATCCCTATTCCAATTCAACTCTTAGCATCTGTTTACACACACACACACACACACACACACACACACACACACTCACAAAATGGCCCTAGTCTGTGTGTTTCGTTTGGTCTCATACTAAAGGTGGCATGTGTGTGGATTTAAACAATGAATGTTTTTTTTGGTTTTTCCTTCATTGTGTCTTTGATGTGTAGTTTCACATTGTGTGACAAGACTGGACAGTAGGTAAAGTCTCAACTCCAGCAGATATGATACTATTTCCTTCAAAGCATATGTACTGGATTTTTTCCCCATAGACTCTATTTTCTCCAATCCCCAAAGAAGCCAGTTGCTCTTTCAGTAATATCCAACTGCCCTCTGGCACATGGGTGTCCTCCGACAAAGAGGCCCAGGGGGCAAGATCAGGGTTTAGTATGATGATCAAGCAAGGAGAGCCAAACGAGCTTCAGCAACTGTTTCACTCTCACCAAAAGCTACTCATGTGCCTCCCAGACACTCAGCAAGGAGTTCTGGTCCCCATTTTGGCATCTTCCCTACATCTTCTCCCAGCTCTTGAACAATTGTTTCATCTGGGTGTCTGCTTATGTGATCAGTTTCTCTGTAAAATTGACTTCCCAAATCCCACCATTTCATTTAGCATACAACACTGCTCATTCTTGTGTGATGAGTATTTCCTTTCCTCACTAGACTTTGATCCCCACTCAGGTTTCGAGACCCTTTGCTTTCATTCTCAGCAGGGCCCAATGCTTAGGCCAGCAGACTTGTGGGAAAATTTGCTCTGTGAATCAAGGAATGAGCAGATTCAAGCAGGACTACTGGAATGACAGCCTTGTCAGGACTTACTAAATACACAACCAACTGCATAGTGCATTGTTGTGTCACATCTTCTAAATAGCATCCCCATTTGTTGTTCATGTCACTTCTTTCATTTCATTCTATACACTTTAAGAGCCAAACAGAGTCACAGAAATGTTATAGGACCTGTCCTAGGTTACAAGCAAGATGTGACAAAGCCAGGACCCCTTGATCTGTGACCCCACTGATCTCTTTAATCGTATCACCCTGGAGCCACCTTCTCCAAAGGAACACTTGTTCTTTTTTTTTGTACCAAAATCCTATGTAAGCTTTTTGTCAGTGTTAATTATTTTTTATCTGAAACACCCGCTCCACATTGGCTCATATTTGGGGCACTGAGTCCTAGCTGGTGGCTCTGGGTTGTAGCTTGTGTTGGTGGCTAAAGGTTCAGGAAGGCTGTGAGACTTTTCAGAGGATGTCACAAGTAAACCCTAGAGTTGGCTTTTGAAGGTTGCCTCTGCTTCTGCCACCAGCTTCCTGGCTCCTAATTCAGCAGTGTGTGAAAGTCTCTGTCATATTGTGGCCACCTTCATGAACTCTGCCACAACTTCTTTGCTATGAAGGATGGCATCTGTGAATCAGAATAGACCCTCCTTTCCTAAAGTTGTTCCTGTCAGGGATTTTATCACAGTAATGAGAAAAGCAACTGATCCAGGCAGCTTGCTTTGTTTACAGAAATATCAATATTTATTTAAAACCATCTGACAAATCTAATAAAGATTCATTTTTTAGGTGATTTCCCCTCCCCTTTCCAGTGACTTTTGCTGTATGAGATGGTATTTGGCCAAAAAAAAGTATTACATGGAATTAGCACTTATTATATATCAATCAAACACTGAGCTATATTTAAAAATGAGTCATTCAGGCTTGGATCAATTAGAGATAAAATGTTTTAAATGGATGCATTATCATCTCTCAGTAGACCAGACATCCTCATAGGTGTTCATGACCAGAGCAATGATCTCCTATAAATCCACAGAAGGGATAAGGCCAAGTGGAGATCCCAGAGCTGGCCTAAGAACAAAGAAAGATGGTCACCTATTCCACAGTGTGGGCTTTGAGGCCTATGGGTGTGATGGAGAGTGAGAGACTACTGAACTGGGGTTGTAATGACCCTCAGGGTGACAGTGTGCACTGTGGAGACCCTTGGGTTTGATGGAGGGTGACAGGCCACAGAGCTGGGCCTGTGATGACCCTCAAAGTGATATTTGTATTCCTGGAGTTATACCATAACACTTGACAAAGGAGCTGCTTTGAGGACCAATCTGTGTAAACCCAGTCATACTTCTTATGCAGAATCCATGGTGCACATGTTGGTGCTGGTCTGTGCATAAGCTCATATGTGGTCAGAGGGCAAGCTCAGGTGCCAGTCTTCAGGAACTTCAACATATTTCTGTTGTTGCTGGAATAGGTTCTCCCTTTAGGCTGGAACTTTTTTCAGAGAATCTAGTCTGTGCCCAACACCTCTGGGAATTAACCTATCTCTATCACCTGTCTCCCAATGCTGAGATTGCTGATGTGTGTCAATGGCCCTGGCCTTGCACATAGATTGTAGAGATTTGCACTCCAGTCCTCCTCCGTACTAGACAAGTGCTTTTGTGACTGAGTGGCATCCCAGCCACAGAAACACTTCTTTATTTGAACCCACTGCCAGCCACAAACATACACTGCATCCACTGACAAGGTTCTCTCTTCTCACCACGGAGGTGCTATGATGAGCACCCTGTCTCCAGCCCCCAAGAACAGGCTTGACTACACCCACTTTCCTTTAGAGAACTGTGAGTCTTTGACAGCAAGTCACTTAACTCTGTCCAGCAGCAGCTGTGTGGGTTTTGCATAATTAATTATTTATACCAAGGCAGACACAGTAATTAATATCCAGATGAATATGATACTGTGATCAGAAATGCTTTGCATTTCAGCCATCCCTCAAGCAAGCAACTGTCAAAAACGGACTGTTTGACAGAGTGGGGCCTGCCAAGCCCCTTGCAGACATCTGCTCTGTAACAAAAAGAACAGATTCCCTGAGCAGAGTGTACACACTCGCTGATTTTAGTAGGCAAGGAATAGCTCTGATTGCCTTCTCACAAATGCTGGTCGATTCTGTCTGCTTCCAAGCACATCTCCCATCATCTCCCAGAAGGACTGAATTTTAAATGGAAAAATCTATGTGGTTGTGAATGCCAGACCTGCAAGTGCAGTCAGATGCAAGACCCTGCTCGGTTGCTCTTCAGTTGTGTGAAGGGAGGTGTCAGGAAATCCTTCCATCCTAGCACTGCTAGAGAATCAACAGTACAGGAGAATTACTCTTAACAACCAAGTTGCTATTTGACACCACATTTTCCTACCATTTGTATAGGAAATGGAAACTCATGAACCATAGGAAAAGATGAGGATTTTCTGGAAG